GGGCTGGACCCGAACCTGCCAGCTCAGGTGTATGTGGCTGGCACCTTAGCTGCTTGAGCTATAAGCACTGAGCCAAGAGAATAGCTTAAGCCCAAGACCTTGAGGTTGCTGTGAGCAGTGACACCATGGCACTCTACCCAGGGTGACATAGTGAAATTCTGTCTCAAAATAAATAAATAAAATAAAAAATATCTGGGCATTGTGGTGGCACCTGTAATCCCACTTACTTGGGAGGCTGAGGCAAGAGAATTGCTTAAGCCCAAGAGTTTGAGGTTGCTGTGAGTTGTAATGCCACAGCACACTACCCAGGATGAAAAAGTGAGATTCTGTCTCCAAAAAAAGCCCCACAAAAACCAAAAACAATTTCTTGCCTGTCTAACCCCATCTCAGCATCTTCTTCCTGGAGGACCCAACCAATACAGCAAGACTCCTCTGCTAAGTATAGTTTCTGGCTCTTCAAGGTGGGCCCACCCTCTTAAGCAGCAGAAGGCCTTGCAGAAATATCTTGTGCACTGGACATCCCAACACCATCAAAAACTCACTCTATACAGCATTCATATATGCCACACACTGTTCTAAGTGCTCATGTGGTCAACCCAACAACCCCTTGCAACCATGTGAGAGAGGCACCATCATGATCCTTTGCAGATGAGAAAACAGAGGTCAGAGACACTTTATCCCTCCAGCCTACCCTGATTCCTGGGGAAAGCTCTCCTCTCTAGGGTGGAAAAAAAAAAAACAATAGTACTTTCCCTCCACTTGATTCTTACCCCCACCCCAGGTAAAGGCAATGCTGAAACCAATGACTTTCACTGAGTGCACATTACATGTCAGGCACTGTTCTGAGCATCTCCTGTAGATCCCTCTTCTGCTCCTCCCCATGGCCCTCTGAGGTAGCTAATCTTCCTACCCCCATTTCACAGATGTGGAAACTGAGGTTCAGAACTGGTGGTGCCTGACCACTTGCCCTGGGTCATGCACCACTAGCAAGAGGCAGAGGTGGACCGTAGAAAGCTGGCTGGCCTGTTGTCAGAGACTGGGCACTCAGGGGTGATGTCATCATGCACCCCACTTGATGGATTGAAGTCATTGAATCCTTAAGGATACTTGGAAGGCACAAGGATCCCCAACCCCCAAAGTCTACATCTTCTATCTCTGGATCTGTGAATATGGTACCTTGCTTGGCAAAAGGGACTTCTCTCTTCCTCCCTTCATCCTTCCCTCTCTCTCTCTTTCTTTATTTTGAGATAGAGTCTCACTTTGTTGCCCCCAGTAGAGTACTGTAGCATCATAGCTCATAGCAACCTCAAACTCTTGGGCTTAAGCACTCCACTTGCCTCAGTCTCCCAAGTAGCTGGGACTACAGGCAATTGCCACAACTCCCAGCTATTTTTAGAGATGGGAGTATGGGTGGGGGTGAGGTCTCACTCTTGCTCAGGCTGGTCTAGAACTCCTGAGCTCAAGTGATCCACCCACATTGGTCTCCCAGAGTGCTGGGATTACAGGTATTAGCCACTGTGCCCTGCCCTTTTGTTGTTATGTTTTTGAGACAGAGACTCACTCCATCACTCAGGCTAGAATGCTATGACCTCAAAGTAGCTGACAGTAGCCTCAAACTCTTGCGCTCAAGTGATCCTCCTGCCTCAGCTTCCTAAGTAGCTGGGACCACAGCGCCTGCCATCAACTGGCTAAAAGAGACTTTGAAGATGTGATTAGGTTAAGTATGATTAGGTTAAGTCTGGGTGGATCTAATGTTACCACAAGGGTCCCTGTAAGTGAAACAAAGAGGGAGGCTAGAGGGTCAGAAGCAGAGGAGGAGATGAAGAGAGGTCACATTCCCACAGGTTGAGAACCGCTGTCCTAGAGCCTCCAGAAGGAAGGCAGCCTTTACTGACACCTTTTGTTTTAGTTCTTAAAACCTATTTTGGACTATTGACCTCCAGAGACATAAGCTAATAAAGGAGGTTGTCTTAAGCCACTAAATTTGTGGCACTTGGCTGCAGCAGTGACAAGAAAGGAAGGCAGGTGCCCAGCTACTCAGGGCAGGAGCAGGACTCTAGCCACATCTCACTGAGCTGGGAGTGCTGGGCCTGTTGGGCCATAGTCTCTTGGATGTGTGAATTCCACAATTTTTCTTTTTTCTTTTTTTTTTTTTTTTTTAGAGACAGAGTCTCACTTTATTGCCCTTGGTAGAGTGCCATGTTGTCAGAGCTCACGACAACCTCAGACTCTTGGGCTCAAGCAATTTTCTTGCCTCAGCCTCCCAAGTAGCTGGAACTACAGGCGCCTGCCACAATGCACAGCTATTTTTAGAGATGGGGTCTCACTCTTGCTCAAAGGAGAGGCTGGTCTTGAACCCATGAGCTCAAGCAATCTGCCTGCCTTGGCCTCCTTGAGTGCTGGGATTACAGGTGTGAGCCACCTCGAGGGCCTGAAGTCCCCAATTTTCCAGATTTTTTTTATTAAGGGTTGCCAGGTTGTGTGCATCAATGCATGTGTGAGCAGGAGGCATACAGAGGTGAGTCAAGAAACCAGGAATTCCTTGCGTTGTATTCTTCTGAGTTATCAACAAGAATAAAATCAACAAGAACAAAAATAACAAATAATAAGAATTCCATTTCTGCCAAGAATAGGGAATCTGGCCCCTAAAGACTGTAGTGACCCCTCTGGGTTCTTATGAGAATCATTGAGTTAACCCACCTGAGCAGTTAGAACACTGCCTGGTAATACAGATGTGTTAATGGTTATTATCATCACTTCTCTCAGTCTTCCCTACTCAAGAAACTTCCATGGCTCCCTAGTGCCCTCAGGATAACATTGGTTTCTTATTCAAGTTTAGGTCTGGACTCATTTCTCCTATGGGTACCACCTTCCACAAAACAGCAGACAAAGGCACTCAATCATCATGGGCCAGGTTTCGGGGGGGGGGGGTCCACACACACTTTACTTACAATGCCAACTAACACACACCTTCATCTTGGCACCTTGTATGCTAATTGTCTGCCCTCCAGCCTAGAGGCCTGAGGCCATCAGGGTGAGATAGGCAGGGTGAGGACAGGGTGAGATGCATTCTTAATGATTGCTGGGTTTCTGGCCTTAGGATATGTTTGTAGTATGCTTCTCATTTTCACGGTTTTCTCATCTCTACTTTCAAGGAAGGTGGAAGGTGGGGGCCTCCAGTCCTAGTTGCTGGGCCAATGGAAATCCTACAACACACAGGGCCTTAGGTTCTTGAGTCTCACTGGAAGCAAGGTCAGTGGAATATTATTTAGCTATAAAGAGGAATGAAACACTGACACGTGGCTTACATGGATGAACCTCAAAAATACTACACTGGCTCAATGTCCATAGCACAGTGTTTACAGTGTCAGCCACATACACCAAGGCTGGTGTGTTTGAAACCAGCCCGGGCCACCTAAACAATAATGACAACTGCAACAAAAAAATAGCCAGGCCTTGTGGTGAGTGCCTGTAGTCCCAGCTACTTGGGAGGCCGAGGCAGGAGAATCTCTTTTTTTTTTTTTTTTGAGATGGAGCCTCAAGCTATCCCCCTGGGTAGAGTGCCATGGCATCACGCTCACAGCAACCTCCAACTCCTGGGCTCAAGCAAGTCTCCTGCCTCAGCCTCCCAAGTAGCTGGGACTACAGGCGCCCGCCACAACGCCTGGCCATTTTTTTTTTTTTGGTTGCAGCCATCATTGTTTGGCGGGCCCGGGCTGGGGATTCGAACCCACCACCTTAGGTATATGTGGTTGGAGCCTTAGCCGCTTGAGCCACAGGCGCCGAGCCCAGGAGAATCTCTTAAACCCAAGAGTTTGAGGTTGCTGTGAGCTGTGTCTCCACAGCACTCTACTGAGGATGACATAGTGAGACTCTGTCTTAAAAAAAAAAAAAATTACACTAAGCAAAGACCACATTGCCTGTGATTCCACTTCTGTGCAGTGTCCGCAACAGGCAATCCAAAGAGTTAAAGAACAGCTTAACGGTTTCCAGGGGATGGGAAGAAAGGGTGACTGGGGATTGATGTTAATGGGTATGGGAATCTCCTTTTGGAGTGATGAGAAAGTTCTGGAAGTAGATTGAAGTCAGGATTGCACATTTGGAATGTACTAAATGTCCCAGAATTGTAGTTTAAGATGGTTAATATTATGTTGGTGAAAAAAAGGTATGGTACTGAGGGAGGAGGTGACTGGGAGGTCTGGGTCTAAGGAAAGAGGTTAGGAGGCCAGGACTCCTCCTGGATCCTGAGGGAGGAGGAAGAAGTTCCTGGGTTCACAATGGAGGAGAGATGGAGAGTTGGAGGCTCAGATTTCTGGGCCCCAGGGAGGATAGAGCTGGGAATTTGGACATTGAATACACAAAGCTGGAAGAAGGAAGTTAGGGAACCCCAAAGCTAAGGTGCTGCCTGCTAGGTTCTGAGGAGATAGGACCTGGTAGGTTTGTGGGGTGAGGGCCCTGACAGTCGTGGTCAGACATAAGGAAGGCCTTGTGTGGGGTTCAGGACGCTAGCCTGGACTTTGCCTCTGTGCTACCTGAGTCCCACCCTTCACCCCACCCCAGGCCTCCTCCAAGCTTATCCAGCCCCAGACCCTGTGTCTGAGGGCAGAGGGGCTGGGGACCTGAACTCCTGTGTCTGAAGGAGGAGAGGCTGAAGCTGGCCCCCTGCGTGTGAGGGAGGAGGGCTGGGGGACTGGACCCCTGGGTCTGAGGGAGGAAGCACTTGTGGCCTGGGCTTCTGTCTCCTAGGAAGGAGCAGGTCATGAGGCAAACCCCCAGATAAGAAGAGAGAGGGGCAGAGGTCAGAGGCTGAGGGTTGCTGTGTGAGAGCCCAAAGTTTGAAAATGGGTCAGGGCAGAGGAAGTACTTGCTTTCTAGGGGGAGGATTTTTGTATGGAGATGTCATCACCAAGATCTCCCTTCCTGCCCACCGCCTGCCTGCCAGGGGAACTCCAGTGTGGTAGAGGGGAGAGGGCTGGGTCACCAGATCCCGGCCAGCAGCCCAAGGAACAAACTGTACCCAGTGGATGGACCTGAGGACTGGATTCTTGGGTGCCTGGGTAGGTAAAAGCTGGGAGGCTGAACCCAGGGGCCAGAAATGATACTAGTATTCTAAAGGGACTGGGCCCCAGGCTCCTGGGACCCCAAAGGAGGAAGGGTGGAGAGAGCTGGAGGCTCTGATTTCTGGGTCGGGGGGAGAATAGGGCTGGGAGTTTGGACATTAAGCCCACAAAGCTGGAGGAAGGAAGTTAGGGGCCCCCAAAGCAAAGGCTGCCTGCTAGGTTCTAAGGAGACAGTACTAGCAGGTTTGTGGGGTGAGAGCCTAGAAAGTGGCGGAAAGTGGAGCCCCAAGCTCCAGGCTCCCCCACTGCAGCCTGCCTGGACTTTGCCTTCCTGCTGCCTGAGCCCCACCCTGCACCCTTGGCTCTCCCCGGAAACATCCAGGACTGAGAGCCTCAGCATCTGGGAGAGGTAAGCCAGTCCTGGGAGAAACTGGTTGTTAGGGTGGAGGGGATGGCCTAGGGGGACAGGGAAAAGCTACTAAACTAGCAAAAACGGAGATTACGATTAAAAACTGGGAAAGATATTTAAAGTGCCTGGGGTAGGGGGGAGGCTAGACCAGAAATCTGGGCCATTGCTTCTGCCTGAGAGCCAATAGGGGCCTAGAGGCAGGGTCACAATCCCTGGCACCTGAGCCCTCCCTACCGCTGGGGCTTCAGGTGTGAGTGAGAGAAGAGACAGAGAGAGAAATTGAGGGACAAAGAGGGAGGTGTCCCAGACACAGCCCCTCTCCTTCCCCTGCAGAGCCTAGCATGTGGGGCTACCTATCCCTGCTTCCTGCTTTCCTGGCCCTGTGGGCTACCAGTGGCATCTGGATCGTGTGAGTGTCAGGGACAAGATGGACCCTTGGGGCTGGGGGTGGAGGGAGGAATTGTGGTTTAAATCCCCCATTCATTCTTCTGGGTCTCCCCACTTCAGTTTTGCCATTGCAGTGGCCAACAGGACAGTGAACCTCAGTGAAGGCTTTCCCTACATCAGGTAGTTATGGTGTTATGGGGGCCTCATGGGGGAGTAGAAAGGGCCTTGGTTTGGAAGAGGCACTGGATGACCCCTTTATCTTCCAGTATTTGTGGATCTTACCCCCCTCAGAGCTGCATCTTTGGCCAGCTACTCAACCTGGGAGCTGCCATGGGTGAGCATCCCCAGGGCTCTCCCAGCCGCTGTTCTCAGTACCAGGGGTCCCAGACCCCAGGCTCTCCTCCCCTAGCACTAGGAGTCCTGTCCCCCAGCCCCTCCTCCCCCAGCCCCAGGGGCCAAGTCCTCAGCCCCTTTTCACTCATACCTAGGGGTTCAGGCCCAGCCCCTTCTCCCCAGCCCCTCCTCTTTCTCGCATATGTAGAGTTTTGTCCCCCTTCCTCTGGGGTACCCAAGACTGTGGGGGGGGGGTGGCGTCTCCCATCCACTTCCACTTTCCTCTCCCCTCCGTTTCCAGCCGCTTGGATCTGCATTCTACGTTACCACCAGCTCCGGGACTGGGGGGTCGGAAAGTGGCCTAACCAGCTAATCCTCTGGACAGGTCTCTTCTCCGCCCTGGGCACCTCGGTGGTGGGCAATTTCCAGGTGAGACGGAGCCTGCTCTAGAGTCGGGACTACACCTCCCGGCATGCCCTGAGGCCGCTCTCCTCACCCTTGTCCTCCCTAACCTCCCTTCTCTCTTCCCCTCTCCTCACCTCCCCTCCTTTGCGGCCCTCCCTCCTCCCTCTTCCGTTTCACCGCCTCTTCCTCCCCTCTCCACCTCCACCCCCCACACCCCTTTCCACTCTCCCCTCCCCCTCACTATGGGTCACCTGGGTCCCGCAGTTCTCCCGAGGCTGGTGGAGGGTGGAGGCGCCGAAGGCTCTTGTGCCCACCGGGAGGAGGTTGGGATAATTTTTTTTTTTTTTTAAGTTTTTTTTGGCCGGGGCTGGGTTTAAATCTGCCACCCTCGGCATATGGGTCCGGCGCCCTCCTTGAGCCACAGGCGCCTCCAGGATAATTTTTTGCCATCCTTTCTCCCCAACTTATTTAATGATGAAATGCCCTAAGATCTGGCTCGGTGCCCTTAGCTCAGTGAGTAGGGTGCCGGCCACATACACGGAAGCTGGAGAGTTCAAGCCCAGCCCCGGCCAGCTAAACAACAATGACAACTGCAACCAAAAAATAGCCGGGCGTTGTGGTGGGTGTCTGTAGTCCCAGCTACTTGGGAGGCTGAGACAAGAGAATCGCTTAAGCCCAAGAGTTTGAGGTTGCTGTGGGCTGTGACGCTAGGGCTCTCTGCAGAGGGTGACATAGCGAGACTCTGTCTCTAAGAAAAAAAGGAAAAGAAAAAGAAATGCCTGAGAGCAGAGATTTACCCGTTCTTAGTGTGTGTTGGGCACATGGAGCATCCAGTGGGAGGCTCTACGTTTTGCACATGATTTCTTTCCATCTCTGAAAGCGTTCTACATAGGTCCTTACCTGCTGTATCTCTGAGTTGTTATTATTATTATTATTTTTTTGAGACAGAGCCTCAAGCTGTCCCCCTGGATAGAGTGCTGTAGTGTCACAGCTCACAGCAACCTCCAACTCCTGGGCTCAAGTGAGTCTCCTGCCTCTCCCTCCCAAGTAGCTGGGACCACAGG